TGACGCCAGCTCATAGTGCCGTGGAGTACCTTAGCTATACCACGTACTCGTTGTGTCTTTCAGACAGACGCCGGATATGGGAGCCGGCTCGTGATAGCATGCGGCTCATTTATGGTTACACAGAGACGGCGGATATCGGAGCCGGCTCATGCGACGGTAAGTTAGTAACAAACACATCGTATACATATTTAAAATGAAATAAACTAAATATATATGGATTTTGGACTTGTCTCACGTGAACATGGATGCTGTGGGGTACGTCGATAGGGTGACTGGGTGTGGTCATGGGTTCTATTGGTCTAGGGTTTTAGTGTTTAATCATGTTGGGCTATAGACAAAGGGATATATAGACTACTTAAAGTTGTATTGGGTTAGACCGAGGGATATATGAGCTGATTGCAGTTGTTATCAATTTAATTACGTTGGCTCGTTTTGACTCGCGAGCGGCTCACGATCTGGCTCGAGCTGACTTGTTAATTAATCGAGCTAGCACGAGCTGGCTCATTAATTAAAATTTCAAACGAGCCGAGCTCGAGTCGAGCCACTCACGAGCAAGTCGAGCGATCTAGCGAGTTACGGGGTTTTTTTGTCTAGATATATTATTCACATCCTCTATGAATAATGAAGCTTTTTTTAATCTCGAAGTCAAAACTTTAGCTTAAATTATACTACTGGAAACCCACACTTCGCCGAGTGCCTGCGGCACTCGGCAAAGCCCGAAATACACTCGGCAAAGGCTTTGCCGAGTGCCGCACTCGGCAAAGGGCACTCGGCAAAGAAGCCTTTGCTGAGTGTTTTTTGTCGGGCACTTGGCGAAGCCTTTGCCGAGTGCCGGAAAAGCACTCGGCAAAATGAAAATGCGAAAAAAAACCCAACAATAATAGCAAAAAAAAATTCCGGGAAAGGGCGCCATCGGCCAGGGCCCGTCCGTCCAGCGCCACCAGCCATCGAAGAGTCGCTGTATTTTTTGAGCAAAATTCGCGGCTAATGCGGCTGGCGGGATTCGAACTCACGACCTCTCCCTCGTGTGTCTGCTGCTCTACCACTGCACTACACTGTCACTTGTGTTTAGATTCCGTTATCTAACCTCATATATATACTAAATCGAGAGTAAATTGCTTGTTTGAATCTCTAAACGAATTCAAATTAAAAAGTGGTCAACTACAAAGTTTCATAACTTTTCGTGATCTACAATTTTCATTTAGGAAGTTTTTCCATCCGAGGTCATTTGAAAAATTCGAATTTCAAATTTAAGAGATTCAAACGTAGTTTTGCATGACAAGATGATTTCAAATCAAAAAGTTGTCAACTACATAGTTTCATAACTTTTGGAGATCTACAATTTTCATTTAGGAAGTTTTTCCATCCGAGGTCATTTAAAAAATTCGAATTCCAAATTTGAGAGATTCAAATGTAGTTTTGCATGATAAGATGATTTCAAATCAAAAAGTTGTCAACTACATAGTTTCATAACTTTTGGAGATCTACAATTTTTATTTGGGAAGTTTTTCCATCCGAGGTCTTTGTGAAAAATTCAAATTTTAAAATTTTCAAATTCAAACGTCATTTTTGCATGACAAGATGATTTCAAATCAAAATGTTGCCAACTACAAAATTTCATAACATCTCAAGATCTACAAAGTTTATTTTGGTCATCCGATATAGTGGTAGTAACATTATTCACAAATCTTATATATCTCTCTTCGACTTTCATGAAACTAATACGAGAGATATGAGAGATGTAGATTTTATGAACAACGTTATTGTCGCTTTGTCAAATGAAGAAATAACCAAAATAAACTTTGTAGATCTTGAGAAGTTATACAACTTTGTAGTTGAAAAGTTTTTCATTTGAATTCATTTAGGGCCTCAAAAATTGCTTTGAAAAAATGATTTGCCGAGGCAAAAAAAAATGCACACGGCAAAATGTCTCTTTGCCGAGTGCCAAAAAAGGCACTCGGCAAAGATGCATTTTACTGAGTGCCAAAAAAATGGCACTCGGCAAAATACAACTTTGTCGAGTGCCAGAAAAAAGGCACTCGGCAAAGACGCATTTTGCCGAGTGCCGAAAAATGGCACTCGGCAAAATACATCTTGGCCGAGTGCTGGAAAAAAAAACACTCGGCAAAGCCATCTTTGTCGAGTGCCGAAAAAAACACTCGGCAAAGCCGTCTTTGCCGAGTGCCCGATAAAATATACTCGGCAAAACTTCCGGCACTCGGCAAAGTGCCGGTTTCCAGTAGTGATATTGCTACTAGCCATGTCTAGTGATATCACGAATAGATTTTTATTCGTACTTTGATTTTATTACATGCTATAATTTTTTTTATCTGCATATTAAGTTAGAAATATCATGCTCACTATTACAGTATAATGATCAACCCATTACCTATGCACTTCTATCGCGGCTAGATTTTACATAACTGGCAAAGAACTTTTTTTTATCGTCACTTCCAGAGCCGGTATGGCATAGTGGCCAATTGGACGGGTGGTGAAAAGTGTTTTTTACCGTCAGCTCTGCCTAAGATCCGACGGTGATAATCGGGGTAGCTTTCACCCACTGCATCTGCGTCTCCATCCGCAGGTCCCACGCGCGCCGTGGTCCAGCACGTCCTTGAACCGGAGCACGATGAGGAACCGCCGCCGCACGCAGCGTGGCGAACCGCGGCCAACGTGAAGCCTAGGAACGCGCCGCGGCGAGCGTTCGACGCGGCCTGCGTGGCTAGCTCCCGACGCGTCCGACTCCTTGGTAGGCTCCAAGGCCTCAGCGAACGGGGTGAGCGCGGCACGCCCGTCAGGAGCGCTGTGGGCCTTGCCGTCGCTGCTGACGGTGAGCTTGCCGTCTCGCAGCGAGAAGAGGCACGGCGACGCGCGCGGACGATGACGGGCTGGCCTTGGCTGCCGCTGCAGTGCCGGTGGTGGTGGACTTGGCCGCAGCAGCGGCAGCGGCAGTGGCGGCAACCTTGGGCGTGGGCTTCTCGCTAGTCGGTGCCATTAGCAAAGCGATGACCAAGGACGATCAGCAGGGGTGCCTCGGTGGGCTTCTCTATGCTAGGTGGCTGGTCAAGTTCGCTGAGAAGGATGGAGCGGGAGCGGGGAGGACGAAAGGTGGCGGGCCCTTTTTTATTTCTCTCACAGAAACGACATGGAGTGTTTGTGCAGAGCAGTATGGCATTGCATAGGCAAACTGCTGAGATGAGAGGAGCAAGTGAGAGATCGACGTTGATCGGGCGGTTTCATCATGTGGATCATGTATGTACTCCGTACTCCGTAGTACTTTGTACTAGCTTGTCAGTTGTCAGTGCTGAATTAGTTCACGAGCGTGACGATTGTTTGGTTTGGTAGCGAGATGTCAGCTGGACGTCGATTCTGTCTCGATGGCGTGGCACGTTTATCACTGTGTAGTGGGGGTTACGGGTTACCACAGCAGAAATAGCAGATATCCGAGTGATACTAGCATTTAAATGCTATTATTATCTTGTTATAAGAAACGACAGAACGGTATTCGCATCCTATGGAAATTAACGCTACTGTAATAATCATTTTCAGTCGGTTAAAAAGTATCAACAGAGACAGACAAATAAAACCCTGTCTCTAGTTCAGGGTCAGTGTTAATCAAAATTTAAGAGGCGATCCAATATACCCATCTCTGTTAATAAATAAATAAAAACAAAAAGCCCGTCGACAAGGCCCGTTGAGCTCATAAACGTGTCGTCTCTGCTGCTCGTGCGACCGGCCTTGATTTATTTGCATCACCATCAATCTATACGTAGCGCCAGTCCTGCCCGTGCCACCCTCACTGGACCGTGCCACACCCTGGATTTGCCCCATGAAGATCTGTGAGGGAGAGGCCGGGTGTGAGGGAGATTGAGAGAGGAGAGAGCCTAGGAGAGATTGAGGGAGGGAGAGGGCTCAACTCAGGAGACGTTTGGATACCCCTTTTTAAACAGTCCTATCATATAGGATGTTTGACTCTAATTTAAAGTATTAAAATAGACTAATAATTATAAAACTAATTGTAGAGATGGAGACTAATTTGTGAGACGAATGTATTAAGCCTAATGCTAATGATGGATTAATTAGGCTTAATAAATTTATCTAGCAAATTAGTCTCCATTTATGTAATTAGTTTTATAATCAGCTCATATTTATTCTTTATAATTAGCATCCGAATGTCTGATGTGACATGGACTAAATTTCAGTGTGGTTGGCAGTCGTGCTTGTGTGAGTATGTCTGATGCCTCTCCGCATCCCGGCTATTGTCACCTGGCGCCTAGGCCACTGTCTGTCCACACCTAGGCCTGACCACCTCTCTACGCCCTGGCTACTGTTTGACCGCTCCTAGGCCCGGCAAGGTCCTCGTGCCTCCTCGGCCTGACACACCACACACCTTTGCATTGAGCTTGCGGAGATGCAAAGTAGTGGGTGGAGATGCAATTGGAGTGATGGACAATTAAGCCGAGTTGAAATTGGATCTCCTTGATGCAGTTTAATGTCGCCTTTACTCGTGCTCATATGCTTTCTTTATTTACTTTTTTCTTAAGAACGTTCTATTAATAACTTTCTAGAATATTGTTATAAGAATTAATTTTCTATAGAATAGGGAAAAAAGGAAATATAAAGTTATAAAAAGAGAAGTGGGGCCAACACCAACAACCTGCACATTTTCGTAGCTCATCTGCAACTTCCAAGAAGGTGGTGTGCGTTAAGCGTGTCCTCAACTAGCAACTCAGCTAGTGCTTCTACATAGAACTAGATTCCAAATCTTTGATGGGCGATTAAAGATTTTGGTGAAGAAACTTGGGGAATTTGAAAACATTTGTAGCTCCAAACTCAATACAATATATTGACTACTAGATAACATAGTGTGGTTATTTAAACTCTAAATCCATCCCGTAACACTATACAAATGACCATTCTTTAAAATTATCAAATTTATGATTTAGGAAACGTCCTAATCATCAGGTCAGTGTATGCCCTCATTAACCCTCCCTACTTCTCTAGGCATGCTGCCCAGCCCCTGTGACCCAATCTTCCCTTGCATCATCGTCACTGCCTAATTCTGTGCCGACCATTTGAGGCAATGGTTGTTGCTGGGGCTGCATTTGCTGCATATGTTGCTGCTGATTCTTCTGATGTTGTATTTGTTGCCTCGGTTGTTGTTGATGTTGCATTTGTTGCTGTAGTTGTTGCTGATATCGAGGTTGTTGTTGTTGTATTTGTTGCAACAGCTGTCGCTGTTCTTCTGGCGTAAATAAAAGTAGCGGTTCTTGGTGTTGAAGTTGTTGTTGGCGTAGCTTCTGCTGCTGCATTGGCAGATTTTGAGTTGAGACTTGTTATTTGAACACCATCAAGTTCCAAGTAAAAAGGGCAATATTTCAACAAATGGAAACGAGCATGTATAAGTATATACTTATTGACTATAATTAAGATTACCCGCATATATTGCTGCTGATGCTGCATTTGTTGCATCTGTTGCTGCTGTAGGATTTGTTGTCGAAGACGCTGTAAGTTTTGCTGCTGTTGTTGAAGATGTAGCTGTTGCTGTTGGTGGTGTAGAAGTTCTTGTTGTTGCTGTAGCTTTTCCTGCTGCACCGGTGATGGCTGAGTTAAGACCTCTGGTTTGAACATCACCATGTTCTAGGGAAAACAACAATATTTCAGTAAATGCATATAAGTTTGTATACATTTGATTACAATTAAGATTACCTTAGGGAAGAGCATGCCAATCATACGGCCTGCTTTGTCAGACATTGAAAGTAGTAGAGTTTGTGATGGTAATTGTATCACAGCACACTGAATTGATGGTAGTCAAAGATTAGAACCATATGAAATGATTTCTAAAAAGTTAAGTGCATGAGAAGACTATAGATGAACCACACTCGAATATTGAAGGTACTAAAAGACTAGAATCAGGCACTAACCAGCTTCTTCTCTTGTAGTTGTCCAAGAAACCCATGCTGATTTAAAGTCTGAAATATTAGAACGTCTGCCTTTCCAACATATTGTCTTCAGGGTTCAGAATATCCGAGGAAAGATATCACCAACACATTATAAGAAAATGTGATAATGCAATAAGTCTGACATTGAAAAGAATGAGAATGAGTTGAGAAACAAACTTGTTGTTCATATGCTCCTGCGCTATGAGGCGAACAATCTGCATAGTTTCTGGCCAGTCCGCTGCAACTCTGCATATGGAAAACTGTGGTTTCAGTTTCCTATACTTAGTCTGGAAGCAAAAACAAAAAATAGTAGAAAATGGTTCCACTCAAGCGGGTGGGGGGATTTCTCTTTGTATTATGCACACCGGGCATGACACTGTGTGTTACATAAGCATCAGCACGTACATACTACTAAGAAAAATGAACAATTCTAATACAAACTCATTCCTGATAAGACAAGGGCAACAATAACATCAACTAACTAGGAGTATTGTTCTCAACCACTGTAATAAACATACAACACTAATGGCATAGAGCTGCAAGAAAATGGACACTTACGTTTTGGACACTGTTCCACTCCAACTCTGTCAGAAATTAGTGAGTGAGAATTATGAGTTGCACGAATAAATGTCTGATACTATATAAATAAATAGTAAAAGAAAAACATAGCAAGATTGCAAGACCCTAAAAGCAGATGGGCTAAAGATCCCAGGTTTGAAGGTGAACACAACCTGTGGCTGAAAATGAGCTTGACAGCTACTAATCAGTCCATTTTTAAGGGGCTTAAATTTACTAGAAGCATAAGCAATCAGAATAATACATTCAGGAATTTATTCCAAACTAGTTTTAGCAAGAAAGTTGGTCAAAGATAACACAAGATTCATTTGAACAAGCTTTTCATGGAAAAAAGATATTTTTCCTTTCGATTTCATACAGACCTACAAAGAGCATAAAAGTGTCACCATGTCTCAGGAAGCAATCATTCAGCTAGTAATACTACAAATTCAAAAAGATATTGAAATATTTATTGTTTTTTAAGAAAATAACACATAATTTTTGGAAGTAAAATAATGCAAATAGAGACATACTTCGAGTTTACAAATAAATACAGGCTGTCCTTGTCTTTGCCCGGATAAGGTTCCCTGTAATATAAATAGACGGCAAACATCAGTTGTTGAAACCTCTATGGCAACTTGGCAAGCATACAAGATAATATGTGCAATATAAATCAGAATTTACATAATGGGTCAGTTTTACAAAAACTGACAGTGGAATCTGGAGGCCAAGGAGAGTTTATGCAGTGTTGATATATGCTACAATGTATTGACTGATAAGGAATGAAATGCATGACAACTGATACAGCATACAACATTTAAGATAGCAATATGGTATACTGAAATATATCATAAAAACTAGCAGAATTAATTATTATCATAGATCCTATGCTTGTCTGATATTAACACAAGTACAGGCTGCTGTACTGAACAAAGTTATGTGTCCTTCCAATAAACCAGAAGAGGGCCAAATTTTGTACTGCACAGAAACATATGGGCACAGCAGGGCCTAATAAGGCTCCTATATGTGAGTGAAGTGCTCTGCACTGCACTTAACATTTCCGTGTCACTGGAGAGTTTGGGATGTACATGTAAATGCTAAATACAGAGAACTCTTTACCTCCCAAATTTTGACATATTTTGGTGGCGGTTGTTGGGCATTCTGATGCAGCCCAAAAGGCACATTCATGGCCGAACTGAGGGGATTGATTCCTGATTGTCGATTCATGCCCATGCTGTTAGGCTGAGAGGATGATTCAGCAATGTCTGAATTGTCCCATGCAGTAGAAGTGTTTGAGCCAAAGGAGCCAAGAGCTGTGCTCTGTACCATCATCAGTTCAGTACCAATTGGTTGTCCAGATCCAGACATAGAGAAGGTGACAGAGGGTGTCGATGTCGTGCCACTTGATACAATGTTTGACATGTGGACCTGTAATGGTGTTATTGGCCCTATATTTGGCGGTCCCATCGAGGTTGTAGCTTCTCCGAGAAAAGATGAGTTCATTGGTGGAAACTGTGACGGATTGCTGAGGAGGCCGCCATGACCACCAGGACGAACTGGATGCTGAACAGGGTTTCTTATAGGGCTGTGTTCTTGCACACTGCCATTTGCAGTATGTGCTTCGGTATACCAGTTGAGTATACGAGTTACACTAGAAATAGTGCCTCCAACACCAGCTGTTTGGCTGCCCATCGTTGGTCCATTCACTGGAACATTCGAGTGTGGAATTTGTCAGGAATCAGCATGTCAATGTCAAGGTAGGCAGCAACTTTAGAATATACTACTGTAACAAAACTCTGTTGTTTGTTCCATGGAACAAATGATGCAAACCACTCAACAAGAATTTCATATGCACAAGATCAATCCATTGCATTTACCTATGTGATCGAAATCGAATGCCGGCGTCACCACCACTTCCGGCAGGTTGGTCTTGAACGCTTTCACAAGGTTCCCCATGAATTTCCGCGTCACTCCGGTGAGGTTCGCGACCTTCTCCTTGTATGCCCTGAACGCCTCGACGGCGACGGTGGTGGACTCGCCGTCACCACCGTCGGCACCACCACCGAAGAGCTCCTTCCTCTCCAGCTCGGCGCAGCTGTGCAGGCACTCGAGCCAGCGGTTGGCCTGGCTCTGCAGGTCGTCGAACAGGTCGCGCTTGGCCGCGTCGCGCTCCGGGTCCAGGAACAGGAAGTAGGCGTAGGCGTGCGCCCACCGCAGAACACGCCGGCCGTCGGCGATCTGTCGGTACGCCTCCGTCACGAACCCGAGCTCCATCGCCGGAACGTCCACCATCCTAGCCATCCTCTCGAGCTCCGAGCGCTCCAGCTCGTCCGCGTCCGCGAGCGCCTTCTGCAGCGACTTGCCGTTGCCCGCCCATCGCTCGTAGTGGTAGAGGTACCTGTCGAGCGACGCCTTGGCGTGCCTCCGCCGCGCCTCCTTCTCCTCGTCCGCGGCGGCGGCGGCGGCGGCCTCCACCTCCTGCCGCTGGCGGCGGGAGTCGTAGCGCGTGCAGCCTCGGTGGTTGTCCCAGGGGTCGAAGCAGAGCCAGCAGAACTGATGGCGGCAGGGCGCGCCGCACGTCATGTGGTTGCAGCCGTGGTTCTTCTCGATGGGCCGCGCGCACTTGGGGCAGCGCTTGGTGTGCGCCACCACCCATTTGGCCGTCTCCGAGTCGGAGGCGTTCTTGGCCAGCCACGCGCGTACCGTGCCACACGACACCGGCCGGTGCGCCTCCTCGCCGCAGCCCCAGCAGAAGCCGTGCCTACACCCAGAGTCGCAGAACACGTCCGTCGCCGCCGCGTAGCCGGCGGCGTCGCCCAGGAACTCCACGGAACGGGTGCACCCGGCGCCGCCGCACCACTTGATCCGCCCGCCGCTCTCCTCCACGTACGACCGGAGCCAGAACCGCGCGTACCGGGCCCTGTCCTTGGCGCCCGCCGCCACCGCGTCGACGAGCTCCCGGACGACGGGCGCCGAGCAGGACGGGTCCGGGCACCGCAGCGACAGGCACCGCGCGCCGTCGGCCACCGCCGCGGCGACGTACCCGCCCCAGCAGCCGTCGCAGTAGTAGTGTCCGCACCCCGCCGACCGCGTCCGCCAGGCGGGGTACGGATCGAAGCAGATGCCGCAGACCTGCGCCAGCGAGCTGCGCGCACAGGGGACTAGGATCACCTCGCCGCCGCCGCCGTCTTCCGGTGCCGGCAGGCCGACGGCGCCGCGGACGCGCCGCTCGTCCGTGAACCACTCCTCCTGGACCCGCCCCACGCGCCACTTGAAGTGGCGCAGCAGGATCGCCGCGAAGCCCGCCGGGATGGAGAGGACCTCCGCGACCTTAGCCGCGTCCGCCTCCTGCCGCGCGCGGAGGTCGGACTCGGTGAGGACCACGTACCTCTGCTCCGTGTCGCGTGCCGAGGCGGCGGCGTCGCCCTCTGATTGCTCATCGGCTTCCTCGTCGTCGTCGTAGAAGTCATCGTACCCGTACATGTAGTCCTCGCCGGCGGCGGCGTCGTCATCAGCCGTTTTGGCCCCGTCGTCCATGTAAGCGCCGCTCTCGCCGTCGGCGTTGGCCCCAGAGCTTGGGCCGACGCCGCATCTCTTGTTGCGGCCGCTCGTCTCGCCTTCGTCGCCGTCCGATCGTCGGTATCTCTTGTTGCACACAACGACACCGCCGCCGCCGCCTGATGCCATGCCACGCCGCCGCCGCCGCCCCGGGCTGCACTAGGCCAGCGCAGTGGACTCTTGGCGAGCGCTTTGGACTAATCCTAGGCAGTAGCCAGGGTCGATTGCCATCCCGTGTCCTAATTAACCGGACGGACATTTCTAAAAGCCGCTTTTTTATCAAATTATTGAATAATAAAATGGGTAATAATATAGGGATTTTATTTTTGATGCCCCCTCGGTGACGTCAGCAGGCCAACAATCGATTCGATTTCGATCGATTGAAAAAGCACGGGAACTATCGAAACTTAGCTACGAAGCATGGTACTGTATATATATTATAAGCACTTGGATATATTCGGGAAAAAAAATTGAAAACAAGAAAGACATGGGGTTGGCCAACGGTCATGCTTTGGTGTTGCGGGCGTGGCTGCTGACGTCCCGCGTCCACTCGTCAGCCGCTCGAACTTATCAGGTAGAACATTAAATTTGAATTTATAGTATTTTCTCTTTACAATAAAAGTAGTTCCAGCCGCCTTTAAGACCAGCCAAACAAACCCCTCGTTTGCACGATCTCTGTCCAAAAATAAAATACAATAATTCTTGTTCTTTTCTCACTTGGCTTTTTGGCGGGTGAAGACTGACGAGGCAGTGTGTTTTTTTTTGTTTAGTGGCCAGAGCTCCATCAATCAGTTAAAGAGATATATGTTTTTTAATCTTTATTTAGTAGGTTCAGGTTCTTTTGGAACCAAAATCAAAGTTAGTGTATGTAACCAGCCGGAAGGAAGGTCGCGAGATGAATACATGAGTTGTTTATTGGAGTTTTTTTTTTTTTTTTTTGCAACGGAAGCTCCAGTTAGTTGACGCTTCCTGCAGCACCTTCAGGTCATGAGTTCGAACCCGGGTGAATTTCAGGCCTATGAGTTCGAACTCCCTTGGGGATGAATTTTAGGCCTGATGGTAAAAAAATCTCCTCATCTATCCCACGTCAAAGTACAGATCTGTGCCTATCCCGTCTCACGGGGATCTGGTGCTGCACTTTGTATATATGTGGGGCAGAGTTCGAAGATTTTCTCGATCTGCGTGAGAAGATTTTCTTCTTAATGAAATACACGGTGGGACGTCGTCCCCCCACGGATCGAGTTTATTGGAGATTTTCTTCTTTTTCTTTTTTCTATTTTCTATGTTTTATTTAGGTTATCCGGTACCTTAACTATATGTCTTTTTTGGTCATTGTGCTTGTCTTTGTTTATGATGATGTTCTTTTGTAAAAGATATAATTGTGGTCCGATGTATTATAGCTTGACGATAATGATCGAAGCACATAAAAAATATATTGTTGTTAATAAAAATATATTCTAAATGAATTAATGATATCTATTTGGTGTCTTAAATATTTAATGTTTTATTTGTTGCAGCCACCACCGCCGTGCTCAATGCTCATCGCTGCCAAGTGCCACCTGATGACATGGCGCATTGCGCTGCGCTACACGAGGCCGGGCAGTGGATTCTTGGCGACGGTTTGGACCAATCCAAGCCAATCGCCACCGAATATCCTTATTAATTGGACGTTTATCCTAGGACCGAAGATTCCATCTAAAAATAATTTTCAAATTGCATAATTAGTGATTATTTAGAATAGAAATTCACACAAAATTACTAATAATATATAGATAAATTTTCGTCATCCACGTGTTAAAACTGCTAAGTCGTCTTGTCCGTCGCTAGAACTGTAAGGGCATTTCCAACCAAGAAACTAGATAGTTTTTCTACGTTTATTAATTAAGATGCCAACTAAGCAAAAAGATGTGGTGCTGCAATTAAAGAAAAGAGAGAAGGAAATTGTTTCTTAGAGAAAAAATCATGTCTATACGAGAACCAAGACATGAAGAGATGTGTTATGTAGATTATGGAGAGAGAAGACATGTGAATGAATAAAAAGTTTCTATGTATATAGTGTCTATATAAATAAACAAATAGGCAGAAAAATTACGTGTGATTGTACCAAGAGCATCTCCAAGAGTACACAATATTTTTTTTCAAAAAATATATAGTTTTACAACTCCTAAAAAGTATTGAAAGGAAAAAAGAAGGCCATCTCTAAGAGTTTCTAATAATCCACTCCAAAAATATAGAAGACAATTTTACATCAGGAATCCTATATTATTTCAAAATTACCCTAAACACTTTTATATATTCTTTCTCTCTTGTACATTTGCTTCATGAACTCTTTCCTACTCTATTCTTTACATGCCATTCCACTTTTAGATTGGCCGACAAACACGCACTGGTGAGAAGATACGCGTGACTCGGAAGCACGTAACTTTACGCGGAACAGGGTGACTTTTTCCAAGTTCTAAAAGATCAGGAGGATGTATTAGAAGTTGTTCGAGAGGATTTTTTTTTCTTATGTTGCTAAAAACCAAAGATTAGGAAGGAATTTAGGAAACTCTTGGAGATGCTCTAACACGGGCTTGCACGGAGGACCCGCTTGGTGGAAGGAGCAGCCGAGCAGCAGCTCAACATAGTCTCCTTGTCCAAAATATTGGGTCTTCGTTCTTTAACAAATGAGTATGAGCTTGGTGGCGGCAGCTGCTCCTTCCTCTTTTTCTGCTCCTAGAAGCTTCTAGACATAGGCCATGGTAGTCGGGCATGAATGCCGCATGACTAGCACCTCGATCTCGAGCTAGGGCACACCAAAAAACGCAAGGGCACAGCACAACGACGAGCTCGTTGAAAATCCTAGTTTACTTTTGGTAATTGAATGCCAACCATATGGACTAATGCTTTCAATGAGTTTGATTAATCTAAGGTTCACTTGATGGTGATAAGGAAGGCTAAGGAGATGGTGGAGATGGAGTTCACGACCATATGAAGCTAGTACTCAACCATGGAGAGAAGAGTTGGAAAGCAAGCTCGAAGGAAAAGGTATAATGTTAGGGTTTTGCTTTTGCCGGCTAACGTGCAATAGAGTGCACGGCCGTGTTTAAATAGTCATACTATAAAGAGGGGAGCGCTAAAGTGATGATGGTTATCTAGTGTCACCAGGTGAGGATTAACGATGCTTGTGCATTTGACCTAGTAACGTGGTAAGGAAGCAAGTGAAAAGCTTTACAAAATATTTTGAAAATCCTAACTCACGTGCTTGAAGTGCTGATGTTTGATGGAACACTTGTCGAGATTTGGCGCATTTAAAAAGACATTGAAAATGGCATTTGCTGGGCTGCTTTTCACCCCCACCGGATTTATCCGGTGCCGATGTGAAAGATAGCATCGGAGCATAGGTCCTTGGGCTGTTGTGTGCCTCGAGCTGGCTGGGCCAGTTTGGGTGCACTACTACAGAAATCTTATTGGAGGTGGGCAAAAAGGGTTAATGGAGGCGGGCATTGCAACAGCCTCCAATCAAAGGTCATGGTTAATCATGACTTTACGAAGGCGGTTGTCCGGCCCGCCTCGGTTAATCCATTAACGGAGGTGGGCGAGTTAGGGTGCCCGCCTCCGTTAATCTTTTTTTTTTAAAAGCCCGAGCGAGCCCAGTCGAGCCTAGGGTCGAGCCCAATCGATCCCGCTGCCGTCACATCCACACTGCCGCATCTAGCTCGAGGCTCCCCACCGTGGCCGGATCTGGACCCGCCGTCGCTGGAGAAGGACCGGTCGGCTGCAGATCTACAAAGAGGAGGAAGAGAGAGGGAGACGGGGAGAACTAACCTACCTCCGCCGTGCTCCGCCTATGGACCCACGCCGCCAAACCCCGCGCCGGCCGCCGGTGGAGCAGCTCAGGGAAGGAGGGCACGACAGCCGCCGGTGGAGCAGGTCGGGGAGGAGGGCGCTCTGGCCACCGCCTGGGGAGTGCCTTCATCGGTGGCCATAAGTCAAGAGTAGATCTGAAATTAGGGTTTCCAGAGAGAAGAGAATAGAGCTCCAATTCTTCAAAGTTCTAGTATAGGCTAGGTAGCAAGGTTCAAGTAGAGTTTGGGCTATTGCTCAGGATTCCAAATTCGCCGTCTAGAGGCCGGTATATCCATTGTATCCCTCTTTATTTATGACTTTGTGCTACTTCAATATTATGTTACTATTTATTATGTTCCTAGTTTGCTCTAGTTATATGCCTGATATAGTTATGATTGATGATGAATATATGCCTATGTTCGCAAAGCGCTTAGCTCAATACTCGAGTGAGTTAAGTTGTTGACATTATGTAAGCGTGGATGCTTAAATATTGTTTACCCGCGGATGCATTCTACACTCTGGGGCATGTGGTAGATCGTGGATGTGACACTCCCGTTGAATCCTTTGTAGTCCACTCCCCATTTGTAGAGCAAGTGGAACCCGGTTGCGAACGGAGTCAAGCTCTGTTCTTGATCTTCCTTAGTAATGTTCCTTATTCATAGATACAGAGTTAATTATGCTAAAGATGAGAGTGTATATACTTGGGTGTACAAAAGACTTAGTAAATAAGGAATGACTTAGCAATCTTTTGCTCTTAATTAATCTCCTGCGTAGCCATACTACATTTATGAGTATCTATTTCTATCTCTGGAATACTACCAATGCCTTACACTTATCATTTATTTATCATTTGACTTACCCCTGCTATAGCATGAGAGTTAATAATCCTGTCATAAGTATGCATATTTGTCAATATCTCTTGCCCCCCATCGCTCCTCCCTATGGATAAAATATAAATAACGATACTTGGTATACTCCTAGGTGAAATGCTACAATGGTATATTATCTTTGCGCTTTGGAATAATTAATATATATATGATTTTCTCTGAGCTTATAAGTGTCATTAATAATTACCAAACCAACGCATTTCTGGCATCATTGCTAGGGATGACAATTTAGTATTAAGGTGATGCTAAGGAATGCCAACAAGCATTTCTGGCGCCGTTGCTACGGAGGGGCACAAGGCTAAGAGAATTGATCAAATAAATACTTATAGACGAGATCATAACTTTATACCTCTGCTTTAGCAGGCTTACCCTTATTTTTCTGTGTTCATATCTTATACAGGGTATTGCAGGATT